TAGTCGATTCCGATCTTTTCAAATTACATATATGGCCTGAGATGTCCGAACACATCTCTAATGCAGAGCCCACATGAAATGACGAGATGATTGTTCAATATTACCAATACTACATGAATCGTCCCGCAAACTCCTTGCTAGCCTGCAGGATGTACATAATCCGTTGCACTATTTCCCAGTAGATCCATACGCCCCTTCCCTCACTGGAAATATATTCACGCGATGGATAAAGCAACCAACTGAAGGGGTTAGGGTTCACTTGCCACGCTCTTCGTCGTAGCTTCACAAGACATTGTGCTCTACCCGGTTTCTTGACCATGTTAGTAACAAAGCGTGACATGAAAGCTCATCATAAAAACTTACCAGTCTCAACACCGGGTTGTCTTCCGTCCAGGCCCCCAGTGACCTTCTTTTTGAGTTTGGCCAGTCCAATTTTAGCTTCGTCCTTTGCAAACTTTGCATTACGTGCTGGCTTCCATTGCATCAGTCCCCGATGCTTTCGCTCTTCTGCCCGTTTGTTTTGTTTGTTGTGATCATTACTCGATGTTGTGTCGTCCGTCTCGACAGTACTGCTCGTTCGGGCTGTTGACTGTGACTGGCGGGGTAGATGATCATCTGTTGGCGACAAATCTGTCTTCGTTGACCTCAGTCTTCCATCTGGTTTACCGCCTTTGCCACCGTTGAACCCCGTTGTATTGCCAACAGCATCAGCATCTTGTACACCAATGTCCGACGAAGATGATTCCTCACCATAGTCATCGTCGGAATCGTCATTTGCTTCGTTATCTGATGGATGGTGACGATCATGTAGTGGCTCCTCAACGCCAGGCTCACGTCTCTTCTGCTGTCTGGTATTCATGTATGCCTTAGGATTGTCGCCGAAGGCGCCTGACCAGTCCTGCCCATCCTTTGCGAGCCACTTGCGCTTTTCCTCCTCGCTCGCATTCTTGAGAATATCACGACCCGAGGTCAATGATTGCTCATGTAGTTCCCTCACACGGTCTGGCAGCTCCTTTTCGACAATGTGGTTTCGCACGCCTTCTGTGACACATGCTTCCCAGGTCTCATATGTTTCGCGGGTGTCATTATCCGTCACAAAAGCAGCGTGAGACTTGTCCATTCCTGCTTTGAAGCGACCGCGAAACTGCAGACGCCCAACCTCTTGAAGATCCTCAAGGCCCGGTTCTTTGTCGCAGTTTTCTTCGGTGATGTAGTTTTGTGTGAGCCGAGCGGGAGCTGATGTCTTCCAGATTGGGATGTTAATATCGACATCCTCGTTGTCGATGAAATGTTGAAGCCAGATTACTGCGTAGGCATCTGGCTTGCGATGATTGGCGATGTGGAACTCAAAGACAACGGGTGACCTGTACCGATGCTTGACAGGCAGGCGAACAGCGTGTTTCTTATTCTCCTCTTCGAGATCCCAATAATATCCATCGCCCTCCTCAAGCCTGTGGACAGCAGTGCGGTTGATCTTGCCAGTACTGCCACCAGTTCGCATGCGAAGTTTCGGAGGATGGGTATAGCCAACAGCCAGTATATGTTGAGATCGGAACTCAAAAGTACCGACATCCCAGCCAAGCATTTGAGGAGGCAGGCGTGTCTCAATGCTGCGAAATAGAAGTGCGATACGTATGCGACCAAATCCGATGCCTCCGTCAAGGGGATACCACCGTGTGACTTGGGACGATGTCTCAAGGATATCTGGAATGGTGTAAGTAAACCTGGAGACAGCCTCTCAGCGCTTTGTGGATCAAAAAGGTACGTACCTGATAACTTCAATGGGACTACGCCAAGGATAGGATCATGTTCTCTGTGCCGCTGGTCTCTCACAGTGACCGTGATGATAGCTGATCGCCAGTCACGCACAAACCGTTCGGTTCCCGCGTTGAAGATTGGCTGAGATGTGACTGCTTTTGTACGTGTCCGATATACCAGCTCATCATTGAAAAGAATCGTACAGTAGCTGCTAGGAAGGTCTTCGCCAGTCTCCTTCTTGCCCTCTCCATAAGGCTTCGCAGGCTCATACTCACGGCCTTTGGGATTGGAACTTCCCTTTACATTCTCTAGTTCGAGGTTGACGATCTGCTGTACGACTACGCTGCAAATACCACTGGGCCACAGCGGATCAGGCGGAGTGTGCATAACAGCGTCATCAGTTTCGGAGTTGATCACGCCCTTATCGTCCTGTAGCGCAGGGTCGTTCTTCAGCTCATCGGGAAGAGCTTTATTCTTACCATCAGTCCGTAACTCTTTCCTAAACTTAGGCTTGCTGAAATAACCAATTTCCCAGTGCAACTCTCCCGGCATGTCGCTGCCAGGTTCCATACCGGCCAACTTGGAGGTTTGCGGGTACATTTTACCAGGATGTTGGATCATTTTCTGCATGGATATCTCCACTTTTCCAACAATATCGTCGGCAGTGTGTCGGTCGGAATCCCAGAGCTCAACACTCAAGTTTTCGTTCGCCTTGATCAGTTCAGGGCCAACAAGAATAGCCGCCGTTTCCTCCCATATGGGGTTGAGATCGTCGGTGATGACCCGGGTGCAGTACATCGGCTTTCCATACTTGGAGAAGGCAATCGTGATATATGGATCGCTGCCGCCATGCTTTGATCCGCGTCGGTCTTGCTTGCTCAGACCGACAGCACGATGAATGCGAATCCACAGAACACCAAGTGCTTCAGTGTCCTTCTGGACCGAGTCGCCTTGAAGAATGGCACGCATATCAATAGACATAGACTTGGGGGCAACATACACTGCCTTTGTTAGCATCTTCATATGGGCCATGTGGTGTGAAAATGAACATACTGCTTGCTGCCGCTTTGATAGCATAGTTGACGAAGTTGCTAATCAACGGAAGGTTCAGAATGTTGACTCCTTTTTCTATCATGGGGATGCAGCCTGCCGTCACTTGCGGTGTTCCCATCAACGTGAAAGTCAGGGTTTTGAGGAAGGGGGGCTCGGGTGTCATGTTTAAGCGTAAGCGCACTGTGCCAACAAGGCCCTGCAACTCGACAAATATAGGCAGAGGAACACCAAAGAGGCCCTTGATACCCAAGTAAAATACCAGCTGCATATGCATGTTGCGGGCCCTATCAGAAACTCGCTTGCCGCTGGGACTGGCATGATATGCAAAGGAGACCTCTAGGTTATAGTAATCACCGCCCTCTTCGTCTGCTGCTGCCTCTTGAGGATCTTTCTTTCTTTTGTTCTCTTCGTGGATAGATGCTTTCATGTCGCCCATGTGTGAGTCTGGCAGTGCTCGCAAGCTCAGGATGCGTAGTGGATTGCTGCCTTGGTTAATTTCAGCGACACGAACATTTTCAATGACTCCAGGAACTGAAGCCTGCATGACATCTTCCAGCATGTCGGCAACACCCGAAAACATTTCAGGGTTAATAAGACCCCAGGCGATACTGAGAAACGTATTCATCCATTCGACTGACTCTGGAAGCAAGTTCAGCGAGGCCTAGATGGTCGGTGATTAGTAAATGTTGAGCAGAAATCATTTCCAAAAGGGTTTACCATTTGGCCGCGGACTTGCTCGCTGTCCCACTCCACCTCTCTTCCACTCCGGATGACTTCCTTCATCCAAAGATAGACAGCTGATGCTAAGCACATGGCAAGAGGAACAAGACCCTTAAGTGCGCCACCAAAGATCTTGCCGACAACAACGGTTCCTACGAGTATTCCTGCGCAGAGGACATTGGCGCGGGCCTCGAGGGCCTTGAACATGGGCTCATAGGTGACCGAGGGTGTAGGGTGAAAGAGGACGTTTGTCTTTTCGCCGTGGATGGGCACGTCGGTTGTGGTACCTTGGGCAACTGGGTCTGGGGGTGCAGTGACATCCTGATTATGCTTGTAGTCCTGGAGCGATTGCGAGGGATCCGTCTTGATGGGCTAAATATTGTCAGCTGAGAAGTGAAGGAATGTAAGGTGTGTTTGTTGCCTACCGTTTCCTTGTTCAGGTTGGCATTGGGGATGACGATATGGGGGTTTTCGACCTCGTTGATCATGTCCTTGCTGACATCGGCGATGACAACTTCTCTGCCCGTAGTTGGATCTGTGACTCGCTTCTCGGTGCCCTTGAGCTGTTTCTCTGGCAATTTACTCTCTGTTGTGGGCGGCCCCTGCTTCTGGGCAGCCTCCTCGTCAATTCTTTTGTCGCGGACTCTCTTGTCCCGATCTAAGTTTTCGACGAATTGCTTGACGGTGGGGATGGGGTTGTGCCCCGAGTAGTGGCCACCCGGGGCATGCTGCTGCTGCTGTTGCTGATACTGTGACTCCATTGTCAAGTGGGAGTCCCTATGAGTGACGGCCCAGGTCTAAAAGAGGGACATGCGTGAGGGTTGCAAGGGTCAATGGGCATATATCGAGCAGAAGTCGAGCATGAGGCTAGCGGCGATGTACGGCTGAAGGAGCGAAAGCAGGGAATCATAAGATCAGAGACCAGGTGCGCGCGGGGCGGAAGGGTGGCAGCCAAGTTCATGACGTAGTAGGCAGGCACCACTTGCTCCTGAAGAAGGTGCAGCCCGGTTGCCAGAAGCACACAACGCGCCCATTATGTAGTCTTGGCTCCTGCTTGTGGCGCAACCAGAAGCGGGCAGCATATCCACTGTGGCTGTATTGCTGGCACTTGACTGTGCCCTATGCACACCTGTCGGCGTATGCATATGTATGGGTAGTATGTACAGTACATACAAACTAGATGGAAGAATGCGGGCATTGTCGTCGGTGCATCATGATTCTCGTACTACCTTCGCGCTACCTTGCTCCGATGACGTCGACGCGCATCGCGTTATTTGGCCAATCAGCGCTCCGCGGGGCCGGCCACCCCCGGCCACCCCTCCCCCACCCCGGCATGGCTCGACTTGACTCGACTCTCTGACTACTGTGCGTACCATTGTTTGATTTAGACAAACGAGCCACCGGCACCGAATTTCTGCGATACTAGTCTACGTGTGTGCTGACACGCTACATTGGGCACGCACTCGGATATGTCGGGCTGGTTCACCCTCTTCACTAATTGCCGCTATATTCTCAATGGCGAGCTCGTCGATGACCACCTTGTCATTTCTGACGAGACGGGGCTCATCCTCAAAAGAGAAGGCTACATTGGCGGCGAGGCAATTGACTTGGAAGATGCTATAATCGCCCCAGGCTTTCTTGAGTTGCACACCAATGGTGCCAATGGCTTCCACTTCACGCATTTTGAAGATAAAACAAGCTATGAAAACAATATTGACCATCTGGCAAGGTACTATGCAACACAGGGTGTGACTGGATTCTGGGCAACTCTACCTACCATACACGCTGACGAGTTTCAAAAGGCATGTCTCCTGTCCATGTCTGGATTGCACACCGACAAACTGACTTACATATTGGCAGATTCTCCCAGCGCTCACCCCGCGGGACATAGCTTCATCAGCTTCGCTTCTAGGCGCACATACAGAAGGACCCTATCTACACCCTTCCAAGAAAGGAGCACACAATAGCTCTCTGTTTCACCCCTGTGCCGTCTCCCCAGCCACTGTCTACGGATCTGCAAGTCTTCAGTCTGCTATCAGACTCGTCACAATCGCTCCAGAGTTACCCGATTCCGCAGCCCTCATCAAGTCACTGACATCCCAGGGTATCAGAGTCGCCATGGGCCATTCTACTGCGACTTACGAGCAAGGCCTAGCCGGACTCAGTGCAGGGGCGAGCGGACTGACTCATACGCTGAATGCTATGCCAAGCTGGGCAGCCAGAGTCCCAGGTCTTGCCGGGTTAGTCTCCCTGCCAGAAACAGCAACGATTGCACCTCCGTGGTACACCATCATCGCAGATGGAGAGCATCTCCATCCTAACACAGTATCTCTACTTCACCGTTCGAGCCCCAAGCGCTCGATTGTCATTACTGACAGTATTGAGCTTGCTTCTCTGAAGGATGGGACCTACCCTGGCCACTCACAGATCCCCTTTGAACAGGTCAAGAGTGGCACACGGGCCACGATAGCCGGCACCGACACCCTGATTGGGGGGTGTATCCCACTTCAGCAGAGTATGAGAAACCTGATGGATTGGTCTGGGTGTGGCATTGCCGAAGCGGTAGGCACGGTCACTGAGAATGTGGCGGCCTTTATGGGCATAGATGGGAAAGGTGGAAGAGGCATGCTGAAAGAAGGCAGAAGAGCTGATCTGACCGTGTTGAGTGACCAAGGCGAGGTGCTTCAGACGTGGGTGGCTGGACACAAAGTATGGGATAGGGAAGAAACTTTAAATGCCCACGAAAAGGATGGCGAGGCGAGGGGTTGATCTTTTCATCGTGGGCAGCATGTTGCTTTGGTGCATGAAGACAAAGCCGATGGAAAGTAGACAGTACACGCGAGCGGCAGTACATTTAACACCTTGTTAGACCAAAGCCTCTGCAGAGGTCATTGACGGTTGGATGTATCGCCACATTCGAGCCACTAATTCAGGTAAAATCCAAAGCAGTAGATACCGGACGACAGGTTGATCTCACGCGCATATTTCCAGGTCAGTGAAGATCTGGGTGCCTTGCGGACAGGCCATACATGAAGCTGAGATGCCCTCGGCGTGCGCGTTGGTGAAGGAAGGTCCATAGGCAGCTGTGTGCAGATTTTGTGCGCACGCGTCGCTTAGTCATGCGCGCTAATGTGGCGCTAACAATTCCTTGCAAGCCCTCATCTTTCCCTGCACCTCTGACATGGAAACTCTCGACAAGACCGAATGGGACGTGCTTATTGTAGGCACCGGCCTACAGCAGTCTCTCCTTGCCCTGTACGTGCCTTGTCTCGTAGCACTAAGGGGGTTGCCATCTGACTGACGCAGCACTTGAAGAGCTTTGTCGCGCTCGGATAAGAAGATTCTCCATGTCGATGAAGATGACTTTTACGGTGGTGCCGAAGCTGCCTTTAGCTTACAGGAAGCTGAGGAATGGGCGCAGCGATTGAAGCAAGGTAAGGATGGAAGCCATTAATCAAGTACGCTGTCGCTAACTCTCCAAAGCACCCACAGATGCTCCCTTCTCCGATGTCACAATAACCAAGCCCGAACCTAGCCCGGACAACTCAGCTCCGAGGCTATCGGTTTCAAGAGCATACAACTTGTCTTTGAGTCCCCAGATAGTGTATGCTCGCTCCTCTCTTCTAGGACACCTCGTCTCGTCACGGGTCTATCGTCAACTTGAGTTTCTCGCAGTTGGCAGCTGGTGGGTGTACTCCAGAGACGCACAGAGCGAATGCTCTGTAGCTCCAGAAACCATGCCTTCGCATGGAAGACTGCTGAAGGTGCCAAACGGTCGCGAAGATGTCTTCCAGGATCACCAATTGGACTTCAAGGCGAAGCGCGCATTGATGAAATTCTTGCGTTTTATTGGTGATTACGAAGAGCAAACTGATGTCTGGGAAGAGTTTCGACAGCAGCCGTTTGCGGTGTTTCTTAGGGACCAATTCAAGATTCCGGCAAATTTGCAGGCGCCATTGATGGCTCTCACGCTATCAACGACGACCTCATCCCAGACGACGACGGAGACTGCCCTGCCGCGAATTGCGAGGCACCTACGGTCAATCGGTGTGTTTGGACCTGGCTTCGGGGCTGTTGTCCCGAAATGGGGAGGTATGTCCGAAATCAGCCAGGTGTCCTGTCGAGCGTGTGCGGTTGGAGGTGGAGTCTACGTGCTTGGAAAAGGCGTTGCTCCAGCAACTGGGGGTGCTGCGGAGGTTAGTGACAAGAGCACAAGACTTCGTCTGAAAGATGGCGAAGAGATTGTTGCACAGTGGGTCGTAGGAGGAAGCTCCTCGACCAGTGCCGAGGCTACGTGCTGCAGATCGATCAGCATTGTCTCGTCTTCATTGCTGAGCCTGTTTCCTCCGATTGCGGAAGAGGCACCAACACCGGCGACGGCTGTGGTTGTCTTTCCGTCTGGCTCATTGACGGTGGGTTCGGAAGCTGAAGAGCTTCCACCCGTTCATATCTATGTACATTCGAGCGACACCGGCGAATGCCCTACTGGCCAGTGTGAGTATTTCCTCCTCCCCTTTTTCTCTCTCTGTTTGCTTCTATGATGAACAACTTTCAAATCTTATCTACATTGTCTGAATACCACTGAAGACAATACCTCTGACAAACTGACACAACGGCACTCTATCTATCAAATCAATGTACGGATCATCATGGTTATTACATGGCTGACTGTGAACTAGGTGTACTCTATGCTCTAGTATCTTTGGGGGGCTCAAAGGGCTTTGCTTTGCTCGAACAGGCGGTTGATTTACTTCTCTCTGCCATGAACACCACACCGGCACCAAGGGTACTTTGGTCAGTCAAGTACCAACAGCAGCCGTCGTCGGGATCCGATGCTCTCCCTTGTGGACCAGAAAAGATAATTCGCTTCCCGCCGCCGCCCGTGGAGCTTGCTTTCAATGACGGGATCCTTGACAATGTCAAGAGCGTGTGGGAACAAGTGATGGGTCAACAAGGCGGCGAATTCTTGGTTTTCCAGGATAGGGAGACGTATACGGATGATGATTGAGGGACATTTCAGAGTACGAGGAAAGGATTACGAAGTCATGAGTAGTACATGGAACAACACTAGGCGAATGCATTTATGATTTACCGTGACGCCATGGCAGGAGTTGTTTGTGGTATTCTGATGCATTTGCTCATTCGTGAATGTATTGTTTGAGGCTCCTTAGACGATCCATGGCACTCTCGAGAACGTCGTCGTTTTTGCAGACTGCGAAACGCAACCAGTCTTCTACAATGTAGGCATTTTCTGGAGTGAAGAATTCGGTCGGGGGGATGGCAGCGACACCCACCTCCTTGATGAGGAACCAGCTGAGCTGAAAGTCCCTGGGACGCTCTGCGACGTGTGGTGGGAATTGGTAGTCTTGGGGTAATTTGACCTTTGACATGTTGACAAGGACAAAGTAACCGCCCTCAGGGTCTGAGTAGGGCAGGTGGAGTTCGTCAAAGACGGCGGTGAACTTGTCCATCTTGGCCTTCATCTCCTTCTTGGAGTCGTCCCAGAAGTTGTGGGCATCGGCCTGCTCGAAGCCAACAGCCGTAGCCTCTTGCAAGGGGGAGACACTGCTGTAGCAGATGCGAGTATGGGCAGCACTGACGTACTTGATGAGATGTTCGGGACCAATGAGCCAGCCTACTCTCCAGCCCGTGGCGTAGAAGTTTTTGCCTCCAGATCCGACGGTAAGGGTGAGTTTGGCGATTTCGGGAGAAAGGGTGGCGATGCGGGTGAATGGGACGTAGTACAAGCGGTCGTAGACCTCGTCTGAGAGGATGAGGATGTTGTGCTTGACGCACAAGTCCCCAATTGCTTGCAGTTCTGCGCGGGAAAAGACCTTGCCAATAGGATTGTGGGGGGAGTTGAGGACTATCATGCGGGTGCGCGGGGTGATGGCAGCCTCGAGCTGGTTCATGTCAATGGTCCACTCTGCTGCCGAAGTAGTCTTTGTGGCGCCCTCCTTGGGTGGGCGCATGGGGACGTAGACGACTTTTCCGCCGGGCATTTCGATGTTGCTGATGTACTGGTCGAAGAAGGGCTCGAAGACGATGACCTCGTCGCCTTGCTCGAGGAAGGCCATGAAGGCGCTGAGCATGCCCTCATTGGCGCCGGTGGTGATTGTCACTTCGGTGTCTGGGTTGAGGTCGCGGCCGAAGAAGGGCGAGTATGCGTGGGCAATGGCTTTTTTGAGGCGCGGGCGGCCCTTTGTGGGCGAGTACTGGTTGCAGTCGACCTGGTCGAGAGCGGCTTTGGCGGCGTCGAGGACGAAGGCGGGAGGGTTGTAGCCAAAGAAGCCCTGGCCCATGTTGACAATGGGCTGGACGGGCGAGGCGGCAGCAGCTTCATTGACAATGGACCAGACATCCTGGCGCTGCCCCGCGACCCTGGCGGCGGGCTTGAAGGGGTCGGCGCGGCGGGGAGTGGCCGACATGGCTCTGCGCGGGGACGGAGAGGAGGGGGAGGAGATGATGGGGGCGATGGGGGCAACGGTGGTGGTGATGGTGGTGGACCTGGGGATGCTTTGGGTGAGGGCACGTCTGGCAATTGCTGCTCGCATGGCCGTCGGTGGTGGGCAGTGGTGGGATTGCGTGCTCAGGGCGGACCGTCGTCATCGAGGGGCAGACACAGCGTCGGGGCCGAGGTGCAGCCGATGTCGCATATCGCATGTCGTAGCATGTCGCGTCCGCCCAAAAAAACTGCCCGTCGCGTGCACCCGTGACGAGCCAGGCCGCCTCGATCCGACCATGGTCGACTGCCCCATCTGCTCCCACGCTGTCCACGACGCCCGCATCAACCAGCACATTGACAGCGGCTGCAAGGACTTTATCATTGACCCGGCCTCGTCCACCCAGGGCCCGGCAAAGGCCCACAACTTCTTCACTCACGCCATTCGCTCCACATCCACGCCCGCCACGACGACGACATCCACAACCACAATATGCTCAACCTCAGCATCAACCCCAACAACTGCCGCTGCAGCAGCACAGCGCCTCCAACGGCCGCCTACACCGCCACTACGCACCAAGCGTTCCTTCACACAGTCGGTTGACAGGCTGCATCCCGATGGCGACGCCCATTCACCCTCGTCGGCTCCCAAGCGCGCCCGCAAGCTCAAGGCGCTCGAAGATGCCATGCCGCTGGCTGAGCGTATGCGCCCCACGTCGCTCGATCATGTCTACGGTCAGCAACTCGTCGCGCCAGGAGGCGTGTTGCGTGCCATGGTAGACGAAGGCCGCCTGCCCTCCATGGTCCTCTGGGGCCGTCCCGGCACAGGCAAGACCACCATCGCACGCCTCATCGCAACCTCGTCGGGCGCCCGCTTTGTCGAAATCAACAGCACAAGCACAAAACTCGAACAAGTCCGCTCCATCTTTGCCGAAGCTTTCAGCGACCTGCAGCTGACGGGCCGCAAGACCATTGTCTTCTGCGACGAGCTGCACCGCTTCTCCCGCACCCAGCAGGACGCCTTCCTCGGCCCTGTCGAGTCTGGCACCATTACCCTCATCGCCGCCACGACAGAGAACCCGTCCTTCAAAATCATCTCCGCCCTGCTGTCCAGATGCCGCACTTTTACCCTTGACGACCTCGCAGACGACCATCTGCTCCACATCCTCGAGCGTGCAATGACAGCCGAGCAATGCACCTCGCCCTTGCTTGACACGCCCATGCTGCAATCCTTCGCTAGCTTCTCAGACGGCGACGCCCGAACTGCCCTCAATCTCCTCGACCTCGCCATGAGCCTTGCCAAACAGCCCGACATGACAAAGGAAAAGATCCAGCAGAGCCTCACAAAGACGCTCGTATACGACCGCGCCGGTGACCAGCACTACGACAGCATATCCGCCCTGCACAAGTCCATTCGAGGCTCTGATGCCGACGCCGCACTCTACTACCTGGCCCGCATGCTCGAGTCTGGCGAAGACCCGCGCTACATTGCTCGCCGTCTCATCGTCGTTGCTTCAGAAGACGTAGGTTTGGCGGACAACACCATGCTGTCCCTCGCGACGGCTACATACTCTGCCTGTGAGAAGATTGGCATGCCAGAGTGCCGCATCAACCTCGCCCACGCTGTGACTGCCTTGTCGCTTGCGCCAAAATCAACACGTGTCTATCGTGCCATGAACAACGCAGGGGACGCGCTTAAGGAACCCGGTGTCGCTGCACTCCCCATACCTCATCACATCCGCAATGCGCCAACCCGGTTGATGAAGGACTTGGGATACGGCGAGGGCTACAAGTACAACCCACACTATCTTGACGGCAAGGTGAAGCAAGACTATTTGCCTGAAGCTCTCAGAGGGCGCTCCTTCTTGGAAGACGCCGACCTAGGAACAAAAGTCGACCCGGATCTGATTGACGACGACGAGTTAATTCCGGAGATAGATTAAGCAGCTTGCAGTGGCATCGGGTCAGTTTTGGTTTCTTGTACAGCGGAAATACTCAACGATACCCATTTGGCGATGCTTTGATCTATTTTTCTTCTTCTTTTTCTTCTCTACATCTTGTTCATATCAGCCTCATCCCGCTCTTTGGATTTCCAATGCTTTGCCTAGACAAATGGTTGCATGTCAAAAACTCATGCTTTGATTGCAACCTCTGCTGCCTTGACGTGTTCCACTGTCGTGCGTCCCAATCCCTCTGAAGCGTAAAAGTCCATGGGATAGAGGTTTCTCCGCTCTTTCCCTCCCGATACGCGCCGGTCTTCATCTTCGTCGAGCCACGGCGCTTCTCTTACTCCTAGTGCTACGAGCGCCTCGTACGGGCTCAGCAACGGCCTAGGAAAAGCATACCCCCAATCGATACTGAGTCTAGGACATGCAATTTGCACCCACGCCTCCACGTCGCCCATCATGGCCAGCCTTCCAGGGAAAATTTCAGACATGAGTAGACTGACGCATTTTATATTCTGCTTGGACAGCTCGTTTTCAATCAACGTCAACGTGTGCGGGTTGCCTTGCCGGCCTAGCGAACCCAAAATGATGCCCCAAGTGCGCGCTTTCCGAGCCGTCAAGATGGCACTGCGTCGGAGACTGTACAGAGACTCATGTTCATAGACTTCGTGTGTCAGCCGTCGTGAGTATGGATCGTATCGGTATGCTGGTAATTGGGGGTTGGCAATCATAGCGCTTTCAAGGTGGAACCGTCCGTCGCCGAGGTACAGTATTAGGTCCGGCACTTGTTGTTCTCTGCCTCTGCCGTCGAGCTCCCCTACCTTCATGGCCATAGAAGGCGATGTGCATCCAAGAATTTCCCCCTTGGACAAGGGTGCGATCTGCGGCACAAACGGATTGTATCCCTCCTTCCGCAGTATGGGCACTATACCGTGGATGGTCGCGTTGAACTGAATGGTTCCAACTAGTGCAATTGTCTTGCCCACGGCAAAGTTATCGGTAATCGTGTTGATCAGGTGCTGAGTATCGATGGTGATGGAGACGAAGATGTACAGCGTTGCAATCTTGGTCACAGCGACCGGTATCAGGCAGCTATGCGCATAGTGTATCAAAAGGTCGCATCCGAGCGCTCGTGCTGTGTAGTCGTCTATACAACATGCCCCGTACGTGACATCGCCCATGATCAACGTGCTTGTGCCCGGACAAAAGCGCGTGAGGATGTCGGATATGGTGGTTGCAAATAGCAGCAGTCCCTCGGGGAACTGCAGGGCAATAGACTTGGCCCCCGATGTTCGTATCCGGTATATACATTTGTGGATTTCAAAGTTGTAGTTTGGTGGCAATAGCGCAATGGCATCGTTGATGTCCTTGTCATGGACAATGTTGTCGGGTATGGCGTTTAGAGCACGAGCAGTACGTCGAGGCTGGGCCACTAATACAACGTCAGTTTGTGTACTTTAATTTGTGATATGTTTTGCTAAGATTTCGGTCAGCGCCTTGTGCGTGCGGGCTCCTCACACCTTGTATCGCGCTCGAGTCCTCGATGTTGGCGTTGGGATCCATTGGCTGCCCGCTCGTCTTTTCCGTCGTCTTTCTGCCCACAAAGCGTCGTTTTGGTTGTTTTGGTACAGAAGGTGACTCCTCCGCTATACCCTGATCTACGTCTGGACCAAGATTGGTCGCTGCCCGGTCGTCTTCCATCTTTTTCTCACTGCTTATGTGACTGCAAGTGCCGTGGGCGAGGCGTGAGGGTGGTGCAGGTGGGATGCCGTGGCGGGGCTGAACTTTTTGAGACCCACACCATGTACCCTACAACCACTTGCATAGGGCTGAAGCGCATACACACGATATTCTGCATGACTGTCACTACATGGTCACAACACGCGTTTCGCATAAAAGATTCGTGCTCATCTAGGTCGTTATTATAAATTACATAGGGGCTTTGTTAGCCATTGCCTCGAGACGCAATGCTTATCAGACATTGACTTTGCCACCAAGCCAGAACCCGCCAATCCATAGGAGACCCCAGACGGGCTGGTAGAAAGCCCTGATCACAGCTGGCCCTGGGCAGACGCCTGCTAGACCCCACCCAATACCAAATGCGACAGCCCCCATCAAAAACCTCTTATCAATGTCCTTGACTGTTTTCGTCGGCAACGCGAATCGTTCGGCAAATGACGGCGGCTTCATGAACCCTTTGATCCGATTTTCAATCAGGTTCGGTAGCACTGCAAATATCATCACCAGGGCAAGAGATGGATCCCAGTGTTGCAAGACTGGAAAAGATAGGAAGGCAGCAACTTTTGCCGGTTGTGCCATCTGTGATATCTGGAGGCCAAGGGCAAACAAAAGACCAGCGAAAAACTGCGTTGTATTGCGTGCGGCGTTGGGCGGTTCACCAGCTTCCTCCTTGGTGTCACCAGAGCTGGTGGCTAGAGCCGCGAGATGAGGTATCGTTCGTGCCGCCATGACAATGGATCCTGCTAGCATCAGAAGAGATATGGCCTCTTCTGTCGATGGGTATACAGGCGTGTAGCACGGCACATCGCTTGCGCATACTGAAGTGGAAAGTGTCGGGTTGGCCAGGTGGTGAGTGATCATGGCAGTGGGGAAGAATACGGCAACCGCAGTTGCAGAACGTCCGCTCAACCGCGAAAGACCACAAAGCATGTGTCCAGAAGTACAGCCGTTGGCCATCTAATCAACCATGTCAGCCTCTTGAAGAATATGTCGAGACAAAGACTAATCACCTTGGTTCCCCACCCAATCAACGCGCCCACTGCAGCTGTCGCCATAGCCGTCTTGGGGCTCAACTGTACCACGGGATAGACGGTCATTAGCTGTGGCGCTAGGGCTTTCAAGGGAACATAGCTAGCTGCCATGCCAGTGAAAAAGGCAACCTGCTCCTTGGTGGGCGCCGAAAGAAGCTGGCGCAGGTACCCGCTCAGTCCCAATATGTTCCCATTCTGGTATAGAAGATTGCTGGTTGCCTGATGTAGCAGCAATGCTCCAACAGTCGTCTCGACCGGCGTGAACATGTCCTTTTCGTCTTTCGCGTCCACGCTTCCTTGGCTTGGCGTTCACTCTCGTTGCTGTCTCCTTGCAATCTGGAATTTCGACAAGATAAACTCAGGAGAACAAAGCCGAGAGGAATGCGCTACTTGTATGTACATGCTCATCTTACATTTCTGACGCTCTGTGTGCTCATCGCCATAGGCCACTGTTCTTGTAGTCGCCGACTACATCTCGCCGAATGGGGAATAAACCGGCATGTGGCTTTTGCGATAATGAACCGCCTCCTTAGAGCGGACCGGTAGCGCTCGGCAGTAGAAACTTACAAGCTGTCTAGCGTAGACCCTGAATGCTATCTCCCGATTCCAAGACAATTTGATGCGAATACGGACTTAGGTTGGACGGCGAGTTTACAGTGGGCTGCCTCGTACAATGTCTGTGTCGTGGGTCCGCATTTGCCTTACCACGTACTAGACAGCCCTCACGTCGCCGACGTCGCTGCCATGCCACCGACTATCATCCGCAATCCCGCACCAAAACGACCGAGCACCTTACGCACCACAAGCGAAACAAGCCACGGCGAGCCTTGTGCACGCACCTTCGGCGTCTCGGCATCCTCCACGTCAGAATGGCAGCCCGAAGTAAAGAGTAGGGGATACTGATCAGCGTGTGCCGAATGAATGCTATATACGAAATGCCGACCTGCCTTACGTACAAACAGACGACGACATTGCATTATAGGATAATGGATTCATTCACCAACTGCGACAGTATGGGAGAGGGGGCATATAGCTAAAATGTTGGGTGGCTGCGCCCAACCACCGATGAAGTTCGCTCCGCAAACTTCACCTTAATACGAATCACCTACGAGTCCCGGGCTGATCAGCGGCGAACAGTGTCAAAACTCTGCCTAGGTTTCCTTGTCGCTGCTTTGGCTTATCACGAAATTAAAGCTTCAGGTACATGGGCTCCATCATTCTTCAAGGTAGTCAGTATGTACATGCAAAAACACACGAGACTGAATAACCATTGCTCGTTTGTGTCCAGAACAGCCGCCATGCCTGCGGGCCGCTACACGCGTAGTGCTTGAACACAGTTCACTATTGACAACATTGTGTTTACTGCTGTCTGCTACCCAAGACGGAACTTGCAGGAGTCTCTGTCAAAGTGACAAATGTCGGGTCAGTCAATTTCTTAATATACAAACGCATGTGTCCAATATAGGACTATTCGGAGCATCTTCTAAGCATACACTGCTGCCATTTTTCCGCTGTAGACTGGGCCGAAAGAAAAGCATTATAATGGAAGAGAGGAAATGGGAAAAGCCTATCTTTCTGTAATTGCAAAACACCAATAGATTTGAATCAGGGTATATCCATTCCGAGTCAGCTGCAAAATATATCTGCCATGTCTAATAAAGCCCCTTGTATGCTTGGTTGTCGTCGTCCTCTTGGGGAACTTAAAATATCGCGACAAAAACCGCATCCAACATCAGCCTAGATTATAGCAAAAGCTAGCACGGCTCGCGCTATGGAATCTTTACAACTACTAGAAGCCTTACTAAATTTAGAATTACTGATTTGTTTGATATTCATCACTACGTAGTACGTGGTATTGGCGTCATTACGAATTTACGTTACTATATTAGGGGCACCTTTTATGCAGCTATCTTAGTTCCTCTAAAGATTGTATGCGGAATACCGAAGTATATCTGTGCAGCGGGCCTTTTCTCTCACGTCTTCATAACCATCTACTACTTAAACCCAGGTTGCATGTAGCAATAACCGCCAAATTCTAGGGTGGGGCAATTTAGCCCATCTATTACTCGAAGCCGGGCTAAGACCTGCTCGTAACGAATGAACTACTATAGCAAGATCATCTTGAGAAATCACGGTAAGACGCCCTTTTTCGTACTGCTAAAATATAATTCCTCGCTCCTTGCTTGATGACATGATGCTGGGTCATAGCAACGCAGGGGATACGTTCTTTGAATAGCACTTTTGGAAAAAGTAGACCTTTATAAGATTTTCGTATACTTTGATCGTTTTGAGCCAAGTCCAAAGTAGCAGTGCTCTCCCCAATCTCTATAAGAAGTAGTCATAATAGCTTGCCATTCTCGTAATATCAAAGGCGTGCTTGGGGCCACCCTGATATCTCTTTCTGTGCAGATTTCTTCAAAAGCTTTTTCAGTCTCTTCCCTGAAGCATTCTTGGGAATCTGATCGATGAACCTGACACCACCCGTCAATTCCTTGTAATTTGCAAGTCGCTCACTAACGTAACGCTTGACTGCATCGGCATCTAGTCTTGATCCCTGCCGCACAACAACATATGCGCGTGGATACTCGTCATCCTTGGGCGGATAGCGCACTCCAATTACAGCGACGTCAATAATTTCAGGGTGGCTCAAGAGTGTTCCTTCAATCTCTGGCGGTGACACCTGAAATCCACGCACTTTGATCAATTCCTTGCATTTGGTAAGCAATAGTGTACTCGACAGGGTAGTGAATCGGATATGCTGACCTTCTTTCGATCTACGATGTACCATAACTTGGTCTTACTGTCACAATACACAACGTCCCCTGTCTTAAAGAATCCATCCTCATCAAAAGCTGCGGCGTTGGCTTTCGCGTCTTTATAATACCCAGGGGTCACTGTCGGCCCTTGAACGCATAGCTCTCCCCGCACATCGTCTTGCTTGATCGTACGGCCGTCATCGTCAATAAGCCTATAGCGGTGTCTTATTTATGGTCGATAGTTATCCAGGTTGATTCTGGTCTTACTTATGTTCAACGTTTGGTATGAAACGTCCAATGCGCCCTGTGTCATCTTCTTCGGGGTAGTAAAATAAGGTCGCTGAACCAGATGTCTCTGTCATTCCCCAAATCTGAGTACATGTTGCACAAGGTGCGCACAGCGCTTTGAATTTTCGCTGAATGCCAGCATCCAATGGAGCAGCGCCTCCGGTAACTCGTCTAACAGAGCGCAGAGTATCCTTCTTGAGAAGAGGGGACGAAAGGATCGAAATCACATGGGGAGGAACCAGTGCCATTTCATTGATCTTGAGCTCCTCTACAGCCTTTAGATAGGGCTCCATTTGAAAATGTCGCATGATGTATGCGCTATGTCCCACTCTCCACGGCGAGCAATGGACTACAGGTATCGTAGAGACATGGAACATCTGCAGCGCAAGGATATTGCGAGACTACAGCAATATCAGCCTTCCATCAGTTATCAAATATCGAACAAATAGCTTGGATATACCTCAAACGGTAAAGGTTTCCTCTCCCGGGTTAATGTGTGGTGAGATGTCGCATCATGATGAGTCATGACCGAAGCTTTTGGCAGGCCAGTGGTTCCACTGGTAAAAAGTCTGGCGATGGGGGTACTTTTTGCGGTCTGTAAATCATCAAATCGTTCCCAATCTTGCTCTCCGTGTTTCAAAAGCCATGTCCACGAACGATAGCCCGTGGGAATAGATTCACCAAAAAGATTTAGAACAAAGATATGGTCACTTGGTATGCCTACTTCTTGTGAGGCTCGACTGATGGACTCCAAAAATGCTGGCTCGACATTAAGAAATTTAGCTTCTGAGGTCTTGAGGTGATGGACGAGTTCGTTGTGTTTGTAGCTGGGATTTGTGCCTGCAAACACTCCTCCAGCACCAACGATCGCATTGAATATCATGGGCAGATGAATCTAAGAATTATATCAGTATTGCCACTGATGATGATTCAGGATTGGACTACCCTTAGGTAAATGCCCAACACTCGCGTCGTTGAAGGCTGCAATGCACACGCAATCGCCAGATTTATGGCCAGCTTTACGTAGACCTGCAATGAGCTTCCGGATGAACGTCTTTGCTTGCTTTCGCGTAAGACTGCGGTTCCTATCTTCGAGGCTATACATAACTGGCTTGTTTTCATCATATCTGTCATGATCAAACGCCCATGTTAGGAGATCTTGTGTCGAACATGGGTAATAATCAGTCTTCATGCTGTCGGCGTAATTTCTTGTAGTAAATGATTTCACCAAATAAACAACAGAGATCCAATTGCTTTCCTCAGTTGGACTAAATAGTTTGGCCTTCCAATTACACCTGTGTCGTATTCTTGGGAGGATTTCACTGGGCCGAAAAATATTCCTCGGCTATTTGGATCTCCTCGTAATTTCCTTGTCTATAACATAACAAGACATCTGCAGCAAGAGATCGACCATTCCTAGAGAGGTATGATGAATGACTGAGGCAAAATTCAGAAACCCGAAATCTATTCTACCCGAGTTTCAGAAGCCACCACTGTTTCTGTTCAACTGATCGACGAATTCCCATGCCATCATGTGCCGCCGGAAAATAGCTTGATATTGATGTATATATTGTCATAGAGAGATCGAGATTGAAATTATGATACATAGAAGCGCGCTGTACTCACGCCCTCGTCTTCCGCAACATGTCACAATTTTGGATTTTGCCCTTGGATGCGTTTCCGATGCTCAAAGTTCTTGTGGATCTGCCGTATAGCCAAGTCCAGCATGACATCTTCACTGCCACCCGGAATTCGAGCGCATGGTGCCTCCCTGGAGAGCTTCTCCACCAACTCCCCTTGGCCAGAAACAGTAATTCCATTGCCACCAAATAACAAAACAGCGCATCTCGCACAATCGTCGAGTATCGTTCCAGACCTCGCTTTTGCGAGTGCAGTCAGTCCGCCGAGCTCGCGATCTGCATCACTCTTCGAAATATGGTCAAGCTGAAATATTAGCTGATCCAACCATGCCGAATGGGCCTCTAGCTCTCCCGCACATCTCGCAAGTCGATTGCCTACTACTGGCTGTTCAATCAGGGTTTTGTTGAAGGCTTTCCTCTGCGTTACGTATTTGAAAGCCGAGGACAAAGCAACTCGTGCCTGTCTGGTCACACCAACATATATCATCAGTCTCTCATGATTGAAGTTTGTCATGACCATTTTCATAGCACCGCAAACCTATAGTGTCAGAGCCTCATCCAGGTCAACGGCTTTCTGGGAGACACGCGACAGTGTCCAAGCCACGCAACAGTCTCGCAAGTCTCCCACTTGGGACGAGGCGTATGTTCAAACGCACGCGTACCGGCGCAACTCACACTTGCAGGCGTACGCGACCCTCATCGACCCGTTCCTGGCGCTCCACCTGTACAGCTCGCTGCTTCCCATCACATCTTTGACCCTCCCGCCATGGACCTGGCAGCAGGCGATGCACAAGATGACGGCCTTGTTCCATATTGGGCCGGTGCTCGTGACAGAGAACGTGCCGGAGTACATGGTCGACAAGCGGCTTGGCAGCGAGAATTACAACCTCACTAAGACGCAGCTCGTGAACACGGCGCCAGTGGGCATCCCAACGCTGCAGAGCGGCGACTGGGCATGGCTGCAACCGTACATGGATGAGCTAGCAAGCAAGCTTCTACCGGGAAAGCCAGGAGATGAGCCAGATCCGGAAGCCCCGAACGGGCGGTTGTTCATACCGCTGGCGATGAGGCCGGTGGACGAGAGGGCGCGGTTCGAGAAGGGCCTGTACACCGCATTAGAAGGATATCTACAGCTGACCAGGCGGGCGTGCCGTTCGACGAGGGGAAGGAAAAGCCAAACCTAGAACAGAACCCACTTCCGTCCCCTCCCTGTTAAGTACTCCAAATCCAACATTGTCGGCCGGCCCCGATTAGCGAGTGTGGATTCGGATTGGGATGTGGCTGCTCGATGGAGGCTGGGGGGGAGTTGGGGGCTGGCTGAGGTGGGTCACTATAGACCTTGGGAGACCAGCCCCGGGGTTGGAGGAGGCCAAGGAGAGTGCAAACTAGCACTGCGGGGGCGGGTCATGCAGGGTGGAACGCAACTAGCTAGTGCGACCGCTGCCAACGTGTGCGTTGGACAGCGGCAACATCCAAGCTAATGCAGCAACCTGCAAGACACGAAGGGCCGGTCCGAACCAAACGCTACTGCTGTGCGAGGCAACTCTGGGTTAGGGGAAGAGATGGGCTTGAGCATTGAGTGAGTTGACTGGAAAGAATCCTTGACCGCCGCCCCCCTATCCAGATATACATCATTACAAGCCATCATCAATCATCTATGTGTTGCACCACAGTGAGCAGGAAGCCTTCTCGCTGCTACCTGGTCCTCTGCGTTTTGCTGCAGCCTGCCGCCCCTCTCCCCTACCCTTGGGTAGCGAGCCCTTCACGAAATATGCAAGACGAGTCACTCGCGTAGTTCCATCACGAATATTCTGACTCGCAATGCACCATTTCGACTCCTGGCGGCGCGTGTATGACAGCTGGCTTGTTCTGGATGACTGTGGCGTGCGCAGATCATACCAAGGGCCTGTCTAGTTTCGCTAACAGCGACACCGACAGCGGTAGCTATCATGCTAGTAGTATTTTTTAGTATAGATTTAGCATCGGACGCGTCGTCCAGACGATCCAGGATCATCACGCGAACCACCAGTCGAGCCTCAATAAGGGTTACGCGGTGGATACAGCGCCCGCGTTGAGACGTCTCTTCGCGACAACCCAAGCGTTAAAGGCCTCGGCCGCTACACGCCCAAAAACGTGCAGGAACTGCGTGGATTAGCGGGGGGAGGTCGTCACAGAAAGGCTTGCAAAGCTGCTCTTTATTGTAATCGAGCATGTGGGCGTGGGCAGGGACATGGCGAGTTATGGCATCGATAGCATCATCTCTGCGGAGCTAAGAAATTGGCTATTCAGGACGTTCGGGGTGCATGTTAGCTTTGTGGAGTTGGTGAGAGGGGATAACAATAACAAGGCTGGCTAGAGGGATTGTGGACAAGGTGCTTAGGGGGTGAGCATGTGCGGAAGGAGGTGTCAAGGGAAGCATTTCATCGTGCGCGGAACCACGCTGCTATCACAGGAGAGATAGAGTGATTGCTAGACTGCCATCGATATATAAGAGCAAATGAGACAGTTTAACTGTTACGTATACGTATGAGCTGCCCAGCACGTCGACCACATGCACACAAATCCGCATGATCCGGGCGCTATTCACGGGTCAACTACGAACGAGGACCCATCCCAATGGCCATTCCAGGTCTGCTGGTTGGTGAAGTCAATGGGGGTAATTTGCGTGCTGTTCTGGGAGAACATGGTGCCCGTTTCGGCGTTCATCTGGAACCACAGCGCGACTTCGAGCTTGGGGGTCAAGACCTCATTGCCCTGGGAGAAGACGGGAGACTGGCTGATATAGAAAGGGGTTGGCTTCCCCTGGATGAGCTTGTAGATGACGGCGGAGGCCGTCTTGTCTGTCTGGTTGACGAACTTGAACGAGGTGTCGCCCAGGCTGGAGTCCTGGCTGATGGTCCCGTCGGTCCAGTCGGGCGGCAGAGTGTAGACTTGCTTGAACTCAATGTCTGCGGGGCTGGTGCTGATATGGAACTTGACTGGCTTTGGTGTCAGTGCTTGTTCTGGCTACGGTTGGTGTTATATACCCCCTGCTGAAAAATGGTCCTTGGTCGCGGCAACCTGGTAATCCTCCCTCCAGGTAATTTGCACTGTGGACGCAATCGCTGGAGATATGTCAGTGGATGTGGAGGTAGGAGTTCTGGACGAGGGACTCACTATCGCTCCACGCGATGACGTTGAACTTGGAGTCGGAGCCCACGCCGCTGGTGAAGCAGAGCTTGAAGCCTTGAGTATTGATCTCTGCAACCTGCTCCTTCGTGAAGGAAAGGTTGATGGTGTAGTCGCCCATGGTGATGGTTACGATGAGGTGGCGCGCAATTGTGGAAGAAGAAGCGATAGAGTGCTGATGTGAAGAGCTCGCAATGTGTCTTTGGCCATAGAGCACTTCTGCACTGAACTTATACCGCGTGGGCTCGGGAATGCCGTGCGTCGCTTCGCTCTCTCAAGCTTTCAGCTCGAAGATGGCAGCCACAACGCAGATGCAGCGTTCCAATAGTAGCAACATCGCCCCACATATAGCTAGTACGGCCCGTCACGGCAACTGGACGCCCCTTCGCCCACTAGTCCGCAACCATGCACATGCTAGCCATGCGGGCAGTCTTCACTGAGGGGTTTACAAGTCTAGAATTGACATGAATCGCTTAAGATCACGAGATTGCAGATTCTGTCAATGGCTGGCTGAGCCATCTCCAGTCCCTCGACGCTCCACGCGATCGTCACATAAACATTCCTCTCGAAACCACGGAACGCAGAACTGCACACTGGATAGGTGCCCGGCCAAGTATGGACTCTAAGAACCGCCCCACGAGGCGCAGCATTAAGATCAAGATCAACAAGCGCCTCGCAGTTGCGTTGAACGAGGAGTACAGCATATGTTGTGCTTGGGGGTTCCAATATGAGCACGTGGGCGAGAAGACATACAATATTGTGGGATGGTCTAATGGTGAGATCGAACCTTCCCGCGCACCGATCAGGACTAATCACCTCAGAGACATCCGTCCCCAGATGACCATTCGTTGGAGCGAGACGTACCGAGTGTCTGCAAGTGAAACGGGGTGCATGCCAAATTGTATGGACACGCTGCCGCGCCGCGGATGTCTGCGCAGCTGACATCCACGTCTAGTCTTCGTCGACTCGGCGACCGATTCGTTGCCAATCCAGCCTGGAGAGACCTTCGTATTCGACTCGTTCGACAAGGTATCGATCAGCGCAAAGCAGCCGCCCGAGAACCCGCCGAACGCATTTGCCTTCACAGCCACGAGCCCAGGGTGCTCCATCGTCTTGGAGCGAGGCCTCGATCTCCACAGAGACAAGGACAAGGACAACGTGACTCCCGTATTCATGGCGAGCAGTGGAGCACATACTTTCCCTGTTCCAACCACGGGCTCCATACAGCCCACTGATACCGCACTGATCTGGTTCCAGCTCAAGTCCCAGCCCTTGATCAGACGGCAGGCGTTTGACCGGAAGAGTCTTACCGTGGAGCCGCTAGAGTACCCGTACGGTGCGCAGAGCTCATGGTTTACCGAGATCACGCTGGACTTTGTCGATGGGCGACCCCAGCTGCTCAACAAGATTATCACATTCCCGACCGAGTCTAATATGGCTTCGCCTATCACTGATGAAAAGCCATCATCAAAAGATTTTGTTGAGCAGTGATGAGCTTTGGATTGTCCGCCTTACGCAGTTCATTAACTAGGTGGCTGTTCTACGGAATAGCACATAACAATAAAACCAACTCCTTGTACTGTGTAGGGATCCCGTTGGCGTGCCATCGCATCAGGGACTCCATAAAATCAACGTGCTACGCACTAACCTCTAGTTCCTAGCCTGATGTGCGCGTTCAAAATAAGCGACATCGATTGCGAAAAGACTACCAAGATAATACCCTGTACTTTCAGCCTTCTAATCAGCCCATATGATATTAAATGGGATACATGGGAGGTTTTACGTCGTGTTGGTTGAGCATTGCAAAGAAAATTTTAGGACATGCAGGAGGTACGCAATTCAGGCTGCCCCTACTAAAGTGATACTACTGCATTGATGGGCATATGGCTGGGTGCAAAGATAGTGCTCTCCATGGAGACCGATCAACATACATGCATTTTAGCTAGAGCTTAACGCACATCTCAGCCTAGATGAACCTGAATATGCATTCTGGCTCGATCTACAGGTGTTTCGACCTGCAGATGGTTTGACCTACATATGGGAGTTTCAGCTCAGACTTCATACGCATTTGAGTTCAGCCAAGCCTACATGTGATCAACCACATATATTCCTCCGAAGCACGTAAGTGAGCCTGCAAAGTGTATTGGATATACTGTTCAACTCCTCCATTGGGATGCCACCTGTAGCCAATGACTCGTCTGTGATGGTCGCACACAAATCTTTACCAAATCCTTCTGTAAAAGGCAGCCTTTATACCCCAATATCGATATAAGGCATACGTTTATCAATTGTAGATCAGAGGATTGGCTTCACTGTTGCGGCTAGCGGGGAGGAAATATGTTCTGCCTTGAGATATACTTATCAGACCAATGCATGGGGCGTGACGCTTATGTGGGTCAGCCATGCAGGGTCCAATAGGTTTCAAGCATACTCCACAATATTTCCTAGGAAACTGTCCGAATCATATGTTTAGATTACTCACTGGCAAGACAATACGTACTCACATGGACTTGACGATTTGCATTTCATGGCTACTAGGGTTGACTAACACTGTGATATGGGATTTGGGAAGACTCCTCGATACAATGCAAGAAAGGCTCTAGAATCGCGGCAACGTGTCGCTTGGGCGACCGCCTAGGGTAGAGAACAAGACATACATTTTCTCCATCTCAAAGGTATCTAGGTAGTTCAATAATAACGTTTTATCTGATTCAATCCCGGAATATAATGTGTAGCTAGGCAGAACAACAATGCAGAGGCTGCATAGAGTTGATAGTGTGAGTGTCCTAATCCATTAGCCTTAGAAGCATATAGTCCAGGGATCGCGAAATCACTAGTACGCATAAATGTAAGTGTATACGTAGAGTGGGCCTTTGCTCGGAGACCGTTACTTAGACAAGATAGCGCAAGGGCAGTCGAGACCCCGCTTGAGAGCACATACAACCCACCTGTCCAGATTAAGCGTGTTTCATCCAGCCACTCGTCATCTGGACAAGCTGAGATGGCACCTTTCGAACAGCTGCAGCGACTCTACAGGGAGGAAGCAGTAAAAATGGAAATTGGGGCTATGCGCTGGCTAGGCACTTCCTACTCTCGAATGGGAATTTCCAGCCAGCCACGAAATAATATAATCCCCGCCCCCATTCCGAGAAGCTTGATTCTAGATCGTTCGTCCTCTCGTGGTCCGGCCACATAGAGAAATTTCAGCCAGCCACGGAACACACGACCCAGCACGACTGGATTTGGAATTACTATTGGCCGATTATGGGGTCTTGTTAGGATAGGCGGGGTGGACTGTTGTAGAAGAGATCGAGTTAACTCTTCATCGAAAGCATCTATAAATGCTAGTCGGGAGCCGTATGTTATTCAACTTGAATATTGTAAAAGGGTCACAAGTTTCATTTGATCGATCATTTCCATCCTTCGCTATGGCTGCCGACTCTCCTCATCAATTGGTTATCAGTTTCCTCAATACTTCCAGTGTGAACCAGGAGTGGGGCTTTTTACAACGCAATGTAAACGTGCCACCTAAAGGCCAATGCAAAATCAAAGTTACAACGACAGGTACGTAAAATATATATTATCATTTTATTTCTCTATCTCTTGGAATAGTTCTTTGTATGAATCCAACCTCTTAAGAGATATCATTGGCAAACCATCTGTCTCGAAAACCCTTCCATTTTCCACCTTTTTCTCCTAGGAGCAAAATATCACTAATACACTGACACAAGTATAGGTGACCAGAGCATTGGCTTTACTGTTACGGTCAACGAGGAGGAAATAGGTTCTGCCTTGAGATATACTTATCAGACCAATGCATGGACTCTTTGGCCAGGATCACAATACCTCCAGCTTGGTTCCCATCAGCTAACCGCTGGAGTTCGATGCAACTACGCCGGGCAGTCTATCGCAGCAAACACACTTAATATTGTATCTTTGACAGTAACACCCAGCCCGAATGAAGAGTAGGATACATAGGAGAGTCTATTAGCTATAGTGGTAAGCTAGAGCGCAATGCTTATATAGCTTAGCTACGTAAAGTCTAATAGATTTTAAATATACTTCTTAATACTTCCTAGAAAACTATCTAAATCATATTAGCTAAGAAAAAACGTATTATATAACTAAAGGATATTATCGCAATAGCTTTAAGCTCCGTCTATAGAGAAAGCTTACCTATATAAGAGAGACTTTCTAGTAGTATAAAATACTTATATAAACACTAACGTAAAGCACCACCGAGCCGGACACACCACCGAGCCGGACACTTTTTCTTGGCATCGCGAACATCACTTGCAAAGTAATATGTCCCAACCAC